GCACCACATCTTCTCCAGCCTCCTCATTGTCTGACTCGAGTGCCAACTGCACAGGCTGCTGGCGCAGCACCACACCAGCCTCCTCGTTGTCAGAATCCACACAGGCCGCTGACGGGCCACAACAGAAGGTCACCAAAGGGAATCACATGACCCTGGGAGATTGCAACCATCATAAATGAGTCAGCTGCCAAGCATCTGAATTTTGATCACGTGACCATGGGGATGCTGCAACAGTCATAAGTGTGAAAAACAGTCATAAGTCATTGTCACTATAACTTCAAATTATCACTAAACGAACTGTTGTAAGTCAAGCACTATCTGTACTTCTACACATATTGTTCAGGAAGACTTTTTTTAAAAAAAGTAAAAGGCAGTTTAAGCCTCAAATTATTTAATGTGTACAACTATGAGTATTAATGTGTACAATATGAGTATTATTAACCCTGTATCCTTTTTTACTGGGGGAAAAAAAAGAAGAATCGGTCAAGACGAGGAATTATTTTCTACATCTGCTTTTTTCTTGCTTTACATAGCAATTTTGTCATCTTGTAAAGGAGCTTAAGTGCATGCTTACATTTGTTTGGAGTCATTAGCGACAGGGAGAATATCACACAGAATTTGGAATGTAGTATAACAGTAACTACCTCTCTTTTTCTTTCTCTCACACTCAAACACCAACTTCACTTTGTTTCTGAAAACTTTTCCAAAACTAAATGATCTGTCATCCTTACAACCATATGTGTATATTGGATCTAACATAAACTTCTAAGTATGTTGGGCACACTTTCAACCCCATATAAACCTCTCCAACCTAGCTGTAAAGATCTCAATAAAATCAATGCAAACAGTGAAGTAGTGAAATAGGCCCTCTGAACCACCTGTTACAGGATAATGTATTCCTGTTTGCTTTATGGATGCTCTGCGCAACAGAAAATTTAAAGGATTATTTGTTGAAGTTACATAAGTTCCCATACTATGTTCTAATCTGCAATAACCAAAAGTTGTTTTGCACATTATAGAAGCTCTTTGCCAAATGTTGTCATCAAATTGTTATTATTATCCTTTATTTTCTCTATGCTTTTCTTCCTACCATTTCTCAGACAATGGAAAATCTTGCTTCTTTTGAAAGACCAAAGTAGTACAATTTTCTTAAGTGCAGATATCTTTTGCCTTAATATTCCATTTTTAAGCCAGCAGTTGTTTTGATGTGTGCAGTAATATATCATGCAGCTGAACTATTATTGCTACTTCCTGACTTATTTGTAGTGCTGTATATTGGCACTTTTGGAGAACTAGGAACAAGAATAGCACAGTATCAAGTGTTTTTTGCTAATAGTTTTAGCTGCTACAGTGTGTACCAAACAGAACCTCAGACAATATTTTGAAGTTTATTTTACAATGGTTTTCTAGTGCCCATCAAATAGCTGTATGACCATGGTCATCTCAGATACTTTAAAATTTAGCATTAAGGAATCAGATAAATACAATAGATTGAGGTGAAAATTAGTTTTCACATAATCAAATGTAAATAGCTAGATATTTTTATCTGGTTGTTAACAAAACAAGGAACTGATAAAAATGTTTATCTCCTGCTCTTCTAGCTCCTTATGTAAATCAGGAAGGAGAAAGAGAAGCAAGGACTTTGAACACTATTGTTGAGTTTGTTTTTGATATGCACCAGTCACTGGAATTCTTTTGTCATGATCATTAGCCTTTCTAAAATAAAATAATAGGAAGTTCCTGGGGTTTTTGTACCTGTTTAATTATTTCTAATTTACCCTGCTGAGGAAAAACCTAATAATAGGTAACTGTATGAAAGTTGTAATAATACAAAAGCTTGTAAAAACAGAACCAGAAGAAACATCTACTTTAGCTGATTAAGATGTTTGAGAAGGAGTTAGGACACTTCTGCACTACCATTTTCATTCCAAATCCTTTAAATTAGCTTTACCCCAATTGAGGCAAAAATATCTCAACTTTGCTTCCAAGTAAGAGCAATAAAGTTGGATTGTGGAAACCCAGAGCTGATTCTGAAGCAGTGTAAGTGCTATATGCCAGAGTTCCCCAATGTTTCCGGCTTTGTGGAACGGCAGGGGTAGGGGATGGTTTTGCACAAGTGGCCAGCAGGTGCGCTCACATGCACGCAGCTCCATTCGTACATCATGTGCACCTGCCACTCACGCTAATGGAGCCTCCATGCATGTGCTCACCTGCTGCTCACACACATGAGGATACTTGTGCTCGTTGGCTATTTCTGTGACCCAGTTGCAATCCTCTCACTGACCACTAGTGGGCCGTGGTCCACAGGTTGGGGACCCCTGCAATATGCAATGCACAAATATTTGTAGTTTCAGCTAATGAGCCAAGTCCTTATTCTGCCAGCAGAACTATGTTTCAATACATACCTATAAATGATGATACCAATGAATAGATCACCTAGTGGGAATGGAATTCAAGTCTTCTGCTTAAAATGGAGCCTTTTTCAGCATATATATATTGGGTGTTTGGATTCCATTTCAGGATCAAGACCAGGTTCTTGTGGCTTACACAGCATGTATGGCTACTTATTCATAAGTAGCTTATGTTGGATTTTGAGTATATGAAAGGGCTAGCAGAAGAAGAAAAGATCAGAATAGGTTGCTTTTAGAAGAGATAATTTATCAAACCTGCTTGCTGCACATTATAAAAGCTGATAAGAATGTTTCTATTTTTATTATGTCTTCCAATCTCAGATGCTTTAATTTGAAAGCATCGCTTCAGGATATTTTTCCATACAAAAGCAAAATGAAATTCAGCCTGTGAATTCAAATAAGTGGATGATCAAGCTCAGCAGTCTGTTTAGCAAAAATGTCAACATTTTTGTAGACATTTATTTCAATTTTAACTAATTCCCGCATTCCTTTTCCTCTCTCTGTTGTGTTCCTGTGGAATTTATACTTCCATCCAACTTTTAACAAGGGGTATCTAGCTTAGAGGCTCTTGCTCTCTAAGTTAGTGTCCTTGAACACTCAGGATTTCCACTTCCTTTGTAAAAACATAACGGCCATCTCATTCCATCTACCAGTGGAACTAACCACTACCATCCTAATTTGCCCTAAATACTATATCTCTAAGGGGGGGGGGGGAAATCAGCAAATGCTTTGATGTTTGTCAAAAAGACAGGGAAATTACAATCTTTCCTTTTCCCCCCTCCCTTTTAATGCTTTTTCTCCCTGACATATTCATGCTAAAAGCAAAGTCAGTTCAGCTGCCTGGAATAATCTGCTTATTCATTGTGTTGCCTTCCACACAATCAATTACACCTACATTAATTTATATATCTGGAGAATTGCTTTCCTTTTTCAATGTGAAGGAGAGAGATGATTTGCAGGAATAAAACAAAGGACAGGGAGAGAAATGCTAATACTTTCCTTCACTAGTGCTTTTTCAGTGCAATCCTCTTTTAGCCATATTCTACCCACCCAAGGTTCCAAACAGGGTCTATAAACAGAAATGAGACACTGAAGCCTCAGTCAAGCGAATGGGCATAAGAGCAGGAGAGGCTGTGGGAAGGATATAGCAGCCAGGAGAATGATTAAGCACTTAGTTTTTGGTCCCCGCTTCCCTGAAAATTGCCACTGTCCAATTTTATTGTTGTGGTTTTGGAAAGAAGGAATGGCAGCACTTCCATATGCTAAGGTAACTCTCCTGCTGCTCCAAATGAAATGTTTTCCCAGAGCAATTTAAAAACAAAAAAGCTTTAGTCTAGCACCCATAGAAAGGTTCTCAAAATAAAATTAAAGAGGCTGAGATACTGAGATACTGAGCCACGGTGGTGCAGTGGTTAGAATGCAGTACTGCAGGCTACTTCTGCTGACTGCCAGCTGCGTGCAATTTGGCAAATCTCACCAGGCTCAAGGCTGACTCAGCCTTCCATCCTTCCAAGGTGGGTAAAATGAGGATCCAGATTGTTGGGGGCAATATGCTGACTCTGTAAAGTGCTTAGAGAGGGCTGTAAAAGCACTGTAAAGCGGTATATATGTCTAAGTGCTATTACTATTGTTACTGTCAATGATGACAAAAAACATTTGTGTATGACAACTCAAAGGATCCGGATGGAATACTGTTGCCTACTGGGTCACAAAAAGCTGGAAGTGACTCAACAACACCAACAATTGCTAGGCAGCAAAGTGGCAGAAAGGAAGAGGGAGGGCCATAGCTTCAGGACCAAATATTCTTTGAGGGCTTCCATAAACATTTCACTAGCTATTCAAGTTTTCAATCCTTTCTCCAGCTTAGAAAACGCAGTTCAGTTCTTCCTCTGTCCAACATTTTCTGGGTAATTGTTTCTGCCCAGAAACAATTTCTGATGGTACAACCTGGTTCCCTAGTATTTTCCAATGTACCCTCTTTTTCCTCAAACTTGGAAAGGCACAAGTCCATGTAAGAAGCAACATCTATTGTGCCTGGGTAGCTCTATAGCACAGATGTCAAACTCGTGGCGTCACATTGCTGTCACGTGGTGTATCGCAACATTTTTCCCTTTGCAGAGCTAGGGTGGGCGTGGCCTGTGTATGACGCAACCAGCCCATAGGCTGCCAGTTTGACACCCTTGTTCTATAGAGTCATCTAATGCAGAATGTTTCATTTCCAAATCAGGATATTTAAAGAAAAATAATCTACTTTGGCCTACTAAAATCCTGCATTTACCAGCATGATTTTTAAAATGTCCTTTGAAAAATACACTTTGAAATGACATATATAGAACACCTCTCTTTCATTTTTCACCTTTTTTTTTAAATCCTACATATTTTTGGCCTAAGACAGAGTTGCAACATGGAAGCAGAGTCCTGGGCTATTTGTGCAAAGCAGCAGCATTTGCAGGAAGGCAAGGAAATGACACGATGCAGAGAAAGCTTTGGCCTTTGGGATGTGTATTGTGATGTTGCATGGCCAACCAAAAGCAGCAGAGACTATGGCATAATGGCATGAGTATCTGTAGAACAGTCTTGCTCCAATGGGATTGGCCTGTCCCACTCACTCCAGCAAAAGGGTTTGTTGTGGACCCCACTGGCACAGGAATTTCAGCTGGTGCGGTCAAGCAGAAGAGCCTATTCCATTGTGGTCCTATGGAACATTTTAGCACTGGAAGTGAGAACTGCCCCCACCCTTTTGGCTTTCCAGAAAGGTATCACAACCTGATTTTGCCAGTTGACTTGGCATGCCATCCATGCGTGTTGTTTTTATATAGCATTGTAATTGTTTCTGTATTTATCTTTTTACATTTTGTAAGCCACCCAGAGTCACCTTATCAGTAAGGTCAGCATATTAAATCAATAGATAGATAGATAGATAGATAGATAGATAGATAGATAGATAGATAGATAGATAGACAGACAGACAGACAGACAGACAGACAGACAGACAGACAGACAGACAAATAAATAAATAAATAAATAGCTACTTTCCAATTGGATGAAAGTAGTGGATTTTGTGGATTCTTTCAATAGAAAAGAAGATTGTGGGCTGCTTTGGAAATTTATTTTTAATTAATTTAAAATTTAAATTCCTAGAGTGGGCCTTAGTGGCCTTTAAAACTTTAGTCTCAGCATTCCTAGGCTGGATGAGGAGGTGAACTCCTCTGGCTCACTGCTTGCTATTTCCTTGCTTATACTTTAAGGAAGTGGTAGGTAATGCACAGCTGCCAGACATTAAGCTTCAACACATATGAGCTTAAAATAATGTGATCAATGGGGAGGAAGAACAGGAATTGCAGTTCAACATTTGGAACTTATAGGTCAGGGGTGTCAAACTCACATCATCACAGCAGCGTCACATGACATATTGCGACTTCCCCCCCTTTGCTAAACTGGGTGTGGGCGTGGCTAGCATGTGACGCATCTGCCCGTAGGCTGCAAGTTTTACACCCCTGCTATAGGTTATTCACCTATAGGATCATTTTGACAGGCGTAAGTTTCTCATTTAAGGAGGCTATGCTCTGGTTCTCAAATGAGATTTGGGAGGTGGCGTTAGAAAGCAATGCATGTCAATATTTTGTTTCTATGGAACAGAGCTGAAGCAAAAGAGCTTTGTGCCAGCCTTTTACATTTCCAAACAATATTTGATCAATTAGCAACACTGACATCCCACAATTACTAGCCATTTGGAAGAGGTGTGCCATGTTCTCAACTATGCTTGTTAAAAATATAACTACCAGTTATTTTGCAATGTGCTGTAAACAAGAAGCCAAGCTTACTTCATTTGAAAACAGTAACATGTCAAAGTGACAGCCGCAGACTGAAAGGAACATGGTGTTTAAGAGGAAGAGAAGAGATGGGAATGTTTTCTAAGTGAGCATCGTTATGTGCGGGTTTAATTATATCTGCGAATTTGTTATTTTGGAAACCAGGGCAGCAGCTACCCAGAGGGATCAACATTATCAATGGGAAGAAAAAGTACAAGATGTTCCAAGGAAACGGAGAGACATCAAGTGGCAAACAGGATACATTTAAAGAGCACAATTTACTAGTATTCAATCAAGTTTTTGTTTTATTGAATTTAATACAATGTTTCATATCAGGCTTGAAACCTGCCAGAACGGAACAAAGACTAAAGTGGATTGATCTTGATCAAATAAGGACAGGTGGAGAAAATGGTGTGCATAATGAGTAAACAGGCTATGGCCAGGGATCATGCTGTCCTAGGCTTATATGTGTGATAGCATGTAGGTGTACGTATGATCTTCTGCTTTTTTTTAAAAAAAAAACAGCCACTAATTTTCAGTAAGTTTAAAGAATGGAGAAAGAATGGGAGATGAGGGAGAATCATTTTATTTTAAATTGTTGAGTAAAACAATTTTTAAGTAAAACATGGTCTTTAGTTTGGATCACTGTGCACTTTCTGTGTAGACCATATTCCCTTTCCTATCTAATATGACTCCTGGTGTATTCTACTTAGTGCTTCCATGATATTCAGAACCAGGGACAATTCCCATGGGAGAAATAGATTGCTCTGAGATTGGTGGTTTTGAAACAAAACCTGGGAGCAATATGAACCAGCTTTAATTTAAACTAGGACCATGATCTTTGCTAAGTGTCCTTCAAGTACTCAGTCAGAATAACAAGTAAAGAGAATTATTACTAAAATTCTCATGGCTGTTTGATTGGGCAAAATGGTGCATCATATGGCAATATTGGAATCAACATACCTCAAGTGGGCTAGTTTACAAAATGAGTTTAAAATCCAGAACCCATGATTCTCATGGGATTGATATTTGGCAAAATTGTGGTTACTTCATGCTGACTAATCTAAACTTTAGGACAATGATGTTTCAAAGGGCAACTACCATAGCAGAAAAGGTATATTTCTGAGCCTGCCAGATAAGACTTCGATGGGACCCACAGTATGCTTCTCCTGCCAGACTTGATGGGATACATAGATGTAACTGGGAAGAGGTGGTCCCTAAAGCAGTGGTGGCTTGCTACCGGTTTGCCCCAGATTGGCTCCGCCTACCCACCCAGATGCTTCTGCGCAAGAGCGCACGCGCGCCCACAAGCAAACTGGTAGCGATGGGTTTTGAAACCCACCCCTGCCCTAAAGTATCATGTAATTGCCCAAGCTACTGCATTTTGTACCAGCTGCACCTTCCAGATGTTCTTTGAGAGCAGCTCCAGGAAGACTGCATTATAGTAATCCATTTGAAAGATGACAGGAGCATGAATGACAGAGCAGAGCATCCCATTCCAGGAAGATGTACAACTGGCACACAACTGGAAGCTGTGCAAAGGTCCTCCTAGCCATGGATACCATCTGTGATGCACAGTTATGAATCCATGTTGAACTCTTTTCTAACAGTTAAGGATACTACTACCCTGACTGCTCTGGTTTCCCTCATTACATATACTTTGATGACAAGAGTAATCATTCAGACTGCAAGGTTAACTGGCTAATTGGTGACTTAATCAAATTTGAAAGATTAATTTAATGGAGTGCTGATTTTAATTGGCAAGGTGAAATGTTAAGATCATGCTTGTTTGTTAGGCTTTATGAGTTCTATTAAATTATAATAGAAAGTTGCTAATAAAATATTAAATAAAGCTTACTTTTAAAAAGGGGGAAATTTTTGATTAAATTGTAAGCATCCTCAGTTTTTGCTTCATTTTCTCAAAAGGGCATCAGAGGCATCAATATTAAGGATTTGGCTCTTTCTTATTATTTTTAATTTATAAGCCTTAGGCCAAAAGGCATTGGAATCAGCACCATTCCTAAAAGACACAAGAATGTTCATACTGAATCATACCAGTGGTCTTTTTAATTCTAAACCAAGATAATCAAATCATAGCTATTGACACAAGTGTCCCTCACTGTAAAAACAAAATCCACACCCAGAATTGAACATAGAATCATGTGTACTTTTTTCTTTCTTTAGAACAAAAAAGAGAGGTGTGAAATGTGAGGCTTCCATATTGTCCACGTGAATCCTTTTCTCTTTGCCTCCCCCACTTATATAAAGATGAGATTTTTGGCAGGAGCAGTAAAGTCCAACTCAGTGAATATCATACAGTACCTAGCAAGTTTGCAGGAAGGCTTCTTTCTCCAAGTGGTATCTATGCATCCATAGGGAAGCCTGGTTCACGATGAGTAGGAACTAAGATCAATTGAGCAGCAGATTGGAAGCTACTAACGATTTATCTCCTTTTTGAATCCAGAAACTGAGAAATGTTTTAAGTAGCAAGACAGCTATAAGTAACTTAAAGAAACCACAATTTGAATCAGTGGCGGGTTTCAAAAATTTTTACTACTGGTTCTGTGGGTGTGGCTTGGTTGGTGGGCGTGGCTTGGTGGTCATGTGACTGAGTGGGCGGGGCCAACTTGACATCACTCACGGCATGGTCACTCATTCACATGACCACCTCACCTAGCCAAACCCACAGAAAAAGGTAGAAATTTTTTTTGAATTTCTACCTATCTACTTAGTTTCTGCCCAACCTTCCTCCTGCATACCGCCCCACCCTCCCTTCGCCAGTTGCACACATCACTGTTGCTGGTTTGATTATTCTGGTTAGGCCCAATATAAGAGACTGTAGATTTTCTTGTGTCAATAATATTTATTTCTCATCTTCCTCAGGAACACTTTTGGACTGCCAGAAGTCTGACAGAGGTAAAGGCTTATATACAGAGGAGGCGGAGCAAATAGTAAGTAGTAACCAATGGTAAGGGACATGATGACATCACATAATGACATATATACAAGTACACATATTTACAGAGAGCAAGTTAGGTATTTTCAATTGTAACAAATCCCCCTCTAAAATACCTAACCAATGGTGGGTTATTAACATTATATATGTACATTAAGTTTAGAGGTCAAATATACATGTTGTTTGGTTGCTAATGGCTTAGTGAGGATGTCAGCGATTTGTTCATTAGTATCGCAATGAACAGCCTTAATGAACCCTATACTTGACAATTGCCTTACATGTTTATATTTGATGTCGATATGTCGAGATCGTTGGCCTATTGCTTCGGAAGCTGATATATCTATTGCTGCTTTATTATCTTCATTGATAATAATTGGATAAATAGGTTCATCCCATACATTAGATAACAAGTCATCGAACCAGGTTAAATTATTAACCCCCTTGGATAGACAAACGTACTCGGCTTCTGCTGTAGAAGTGGCAATTAAGTTTTGTTTGCCAGTGTACCAGTGCACCGTACAACCATTTATAAGAAAAACATATCCAGAGGTGCTTTTTCTGCTTTTTGAATCAGCAGCCCAGTCTGCATCGGCGTAGCAGGTCAACATTGGTTTTTCAGAAATGAATGGTTCTAAGTATAGACATACATTAATGCTATATTTCAGATATCTCAAAATTCTCTTAATTCCTTCCCAATGGTATAAGTTAGGATTGGTTACATGTCTTGACAACAAATTAACGGCAAGGGTGATATCAGGCCTAGTCCAATTAGATATGTACAATAAGGACCCAATAATTGATAGATATAAAGTGTTATCTTTGAATGGCTCGTGTTCATTGTGCACATTTCTATAAAAATCAGTTGACATGGGAGTTTCACAAATTTTTGAGTTAACCATATTGCACTTTTGTATGAGTTCTATAATTTTATCTTTCTGAGACAATTTGAAACCCTTATCCGTTTTATCAATTTGGACTCCTAAATACTTGTTTACCTTTCCTAATATTTTTAAATTGAAATGTTTGCCCAATTGTTTAGCAAAATCATCACATTTAATCTTATCACGTCCAAAATATATGTCATCAACATAAATCAAAACATATTCAATAGAATCATTATTTCTTTTTGTAAAAAAACAAAAATCAGATGAAGTAGCTATAAAACCCATACCATTAAGTATCTTTGATAAACATTCATACCACCGCTTGCCAGACTGTTTTAGTCCATAAAGACTTTTATTCAATAGCCAAATTTCTCCCTTTTTTGTATCCTTCCCTGGGGGGGCTTTTACATAAATTTCTTTATCAAGATCAGCGTGTAGATAAGCTGTCTGTACAGCAAATTGATATACTTCTAGATTTAAGATGGAAGCTAATACCAATGCTGTTTTCACACTTTCTGATCTAACGGTTGGAGAGTATGTGTCCTCATAGTCATCTGGAAATCTTTGGGCAAAGCCTTGAGCCACTAACCTGGCTTTATATAGGAATTTACCATCCTCTAGCTCCTTGATTTTATAGATCCATTTAGTGCCAATGGGGGACTTCTCTGTGGGTAGATCTGTTGGTGAGTATACATTTAGTTCCTTCAAACTGTCCATCTCTTTTTTCATTGCTTCCTCCCACTTACTTTTTTCTTCTAGAGGTAACTTTAGTATGTCATCATATATATTGGGAGTCAGGTGTTTAGCTTGGATAGATAGTACATAATCATCTAATCTTTTAGGGATTGTGCCTCTATTGGATCTAATGGGCCTATTCTGGGGATGTTCATCACTATGCATATATTTAGTTTCTTTTTCTGTTAATTTCTACCTTCAGAGTGGGATGTCCTTTCTTCCATTCATCATTAATTACTTTTGGGTATTTGATTTTGCTCGTTGTTATACTTTTGGGATTGGTATCTGATGTATAATGTTCTGTGTGTGTGTGTGTAGTGTTTTTTGATTCTGGATATATTTCATTGAGATGTATTTTTGACCAGTTCATGTGTTCATGAAACACGGCAGATCTGGATACAATGAAATGGTTATTTTTATCAATAAAGCGATATCCCTTGGTTCCTGATTCGTACCCCATAAATATTAGTCTTTTGGATACTTTCTCTCCTTTGCGCCTTAATTGTGTGGGGACATATACATCAGCAGTTACACCAAATACATGTAAATGTCCAATTTTTGGTTTTCTTCCATACATGAGTTCGTATGGAGTTTTGTTGATTGTACTTGACCATAAGCGGTTTATGGTGTAATTGGAATAAGTAAGGGCCTCAGCCCAGAATGATTGGCTCAAGCCAGCATCGTCTAACACACATTTAACCATGGTTTGTAG